CTGCTCGTGGTGCTCTGTGCTCGGCTTTATCAGAACCTTCCCATCCTCACAAAGAAGCCAAATCTTGCCGAAACAAGCAAGGCTCTCTGGCCTGACCCTGGCCTTCTCAGACCTCACCAGCACCGCACTGCACTGACTCTCTAGCATTTCCATCCATCGAATATACCAAGTATGTTCACCTCGGGTCTCTATGTTGTTTCTCTCTCCTCTGAGATAGCCTTTCTGCCAGTGCTCAGATGGCTCACTATGGCAGCTCGTTTCCATCTCTCTTCAGGAAGGCACCCTATTAATAAGTCTTTTCCTGGTGTTCCCCTTTGAAAACTCAGTCCACACGCCCACATCAGATCTCTCCAATTTGCTTTTCTTTCTAGAACATACCACCTGACTCACTACATATGAAAAATTTTAACCTGACCTACTCCTTAGCATACTGGCCCCATTAGATCATGGATTTCCTTTTGTTTTCACTGATGGACATATAGAAGCCCCTTAATAATTATCTGTGAAAGAAGTGAAGGGGGGATTTTAATCTGGTAAGTATAGAAATATGCAAGTATGAAGTATGCAGAGAATCTACCCAGAGAGGAACAGCCCCTCCTGTTTCCTGAAGAATGGAAGGAGAGTCTTCCAGGAAAGTGCAAGTAAAAATATTGTTCTTAAGAAAAGCAACAGAGTGAAAAGCCACTAACATACTTGAAAGAGAAGTTTATGTATCAAGGAAATGAAATAGAAGGACAAAAACCATGGGAAATAGGGATAGAGACAATAAGGGTGTGTCTTTGGAGCATACATGGCCTGCTGAGATGGCTCATCATGGAGTGGAGTTGACGGGTCATCCAGTAAGTGTTTACCATCTCCGTGACCTTCTTATGCATCCTTTCTAACTTCTGAAGGTTTCCCCTCCTGCTCTCCACAGAGCATGTTTGCAGATGTTGATCACCCACCCATCAGCAAGAGGACTGGCTGCAGGCAGACTCCATGTTTGCTTAAATGAAGGCTTTCTGCTTCCTGGTCCCCAGAAACAATTCCTAATTGCCAAACCAATTAAGAAAATTCTACATTCCACAACAGTGAGTGACTTAGGACTCAGAAACTTCTGGAATCCTTGCTAAGAAAAATTTTCCAGTGAAGAAGGTTAAGAAGACACACATAGGAGAATCTACTTCCTTTCAGAATTGTGCTCTCTACATGTGGTTGCCAATGAAGTAGCTATTCATGGTCACAAGGAAAATACTCAGAGAGGAAGCCCAGGATGATAGAGGAGAAAGATGGAGAAACCTGAGTCCTCGATGAATCACCTCTGAGTAGGTAGGTACACAGCCTTGAATCTACCCTGTTTTGGGATTTCTTGCCATGTCATATGAAAGCTTTTCATCGCTATTTCAAGGAAAAGTTTCAGTTGAAGTTTCTGTTTCTTGCAGCTAAAAGCATCACCACTTACCTTAGGAACTTTTATTACCGCTTGTCCCCTAACACCAGCAAGGACACATGCTAACACTCACATGTTCCTTGTTTTTCCTATTCATATTTATTTATTTATTTAAAGTCTTTTCTCATTTTACATACCAATCCCAGTTCCCACTCTCTTCCTTCCTCCCACTCCTTTACCTTCCCGCCACCCCACCCCCATCCACTCCTCAGAGCGGATAAGGCTTCCAATGGGGAGTCAACAAAATCTAACATACGGTTTTGTGGCAGGATCAAGACCCTCCCCACTATATCTAGGCTGAGCAAGGTATCCCTCTAAAGAAAATGGGATCCAAAAAAGCCAGTTCAAGCGGTAGGGACCAGTATTTGCTGATCTCACTGCCAGTGGCCTCGCAGTCTGCCCCAGCCATATAGAATGTCAACCACATCCAGAGAACCTAGTTTTGTCCTATGCTGACTCCCCGCTGTCATTCCAGAGTCAGTGGGCTCCCATTAGCTCAGTTAAGCTGTTTCAGGGAGCTTCCCCATCATGGTCTTGATCCTTTATTCATCTTATCACTCCTCCCTCTCTTCAGTTGGGTATTGGGAGCTCAGTCCATTGATTATTAGATGTAAAACAAAGGATCATGAGCCTGAAATCCATGACTCCAGAGAAACTAAGTAACAAGGAGAACCCTAAGAGAAACATATATGGATCGCCCTGGGAAGAGGACATAGATGAAATCACCTGGAAAAAAATGGGAGTATGGTGGTGGGGGAAAGGGAAGGGAGGAGGGGAAGGAGGAGGAAAGAAGGGAAAAGAAGAGGAAAGCAAGAAGGAACAGGATAGTCAAGATGGGGGAAGGACAGAGAGGGAGAGCAAGGAAAGAGGTATCTTGATTGAGGGAGCCATTATGGGGCTAGAAGAAATCTGGCACTAGGGAAATTCCCAGGAATCCACAAGGATGACCCCAGCTAAGCACCTACGTAATAGTGGAGAGGAAGCCTGAAATGGCCTTCCTCTGTAATCAGATTGATGACTATGTTGTCATAGAACCTGCATCCAACAACTGATGGGAGCAGAGGCAGAGATCCCCTTACACTTTTCTAAAGCAGCTACTCATTTTAGTTAGACTTTCACAGGTCTGAAAATATTCATTCTTTTACCACAAATCTGAGTATGAATGGTTTCACATGTTTTTAGAATCCTAGTCTAAGCACATGGTCCCCAGGACAATACCAGATCAGCTATAGTCCTCCCTACTTCTGTGCATTTACTGTGGTTACTAATGTATGTTTTCAGCCATGCCCATTCGACCTGAGCTCACTGGAGGTGGATTTGCTGGGGTGTGACCTGTGTGTCACTGATTTAGGAATGTATGTCATGCTCCCCTTCAAAAGTTCATACTTTGTGTTTCGACTGTCATAAAGAGCTAAGAGCACATGGTCCTCAGACCTGAAAGAGGGAGGAGAGCATGTGGCTCAACCATTGTCAGTCAACAAAGAAGCAAAAGGAAATGTGTCACTTGGGACTTTCAAAACAATGAACCAAGGCATTTACCAGTGCCAGTGATGATCACACCTTCCTGCAATTAGAGCTGGTGGCTCTAAACTTGTTCATATGTCTGGGTGCTATGCATGTTAGTTCTTTGACCATCCAGAACAATCACTAGAGTTAATCTGAGCTGGACAAGTCTTAGCTTTTGATTAAAAAAAATTCACATGGGCTTTGTTCATCTCATTCCACTCACCTGCAAGCCTATGTCTTCACAAGGATGCTGTCCTTCAACTAAATCTTTGTACAGTGCTCTATAACATCTGTAATAATTAGTGTCCTTAGAAAACATTTATTTGGTAATCTTAATAATAAAAGTCCACCCAGTAATGAGGTATATCCAAGCTGACCTTTCTTTACACTGTATTCTGTGTTGAAGAGGGTGGAGTTAGTGAGTTAAGACAGTTGCTGGGATGTAATTTCAGATTTACAAGTAAATGTAATTTTTTAAATGTGGGTCATGTTTTTATTATAAAGCAGACATTGA